TATTGAGAGACAATAGAAATAATGATCAATAGATTGAGTGAAGAGAACGAAGAATAAGTGGAAAAACAAAACAAAATAAAAGATTGGATTAAATAATAGATAAGAAAAGCTAGAGAGAGAGAGAGAGAGAGAGAAGTCTCACTAAAACTCAATCTGAATAGTGTTTGCATTGGAATTCAAAAATACTATGAATAATAGGGAATGGAGTTTGTGTTGAACATATTCACGAGTTTTTTGTAAAAAGTTATATAAATTCTGTAAATACAGTAATATGTTAATCGACTCACAAAACAAATAAACTTCTCACAGACTTTGCCGAAATAAATAAAGCATAGAAAATATTAATTGACTTTTCTAATTGTTTTTCAATAATTTTCTAAAATTAACAAAAAGCTTAATTAATTGAATTACTTTATACTAAACTAAATTTCTAGAAAAAATTAAGTTTTTTTAAATTATGTAAATACCAGCAACTATTATAAAAGTTTTGTAACAACTTATACACCCATTATAATCTCAATAATTTCTTAAAAGTCTAATAATAAATTCAAAACATTGTTTTAACCAGGCACAATAATAAATAAAATAATTTATTTGATCAAGGCCCTAATGAGTGACTAGACCCTGATTACTGGTCACAAATCTACTGAATGTCAAACATAGCGCCACTCATTGGCACACATTTGCATGACTTGTGAAACGATAACAACAATCAAAACAATACTAAAACTGATTGTAAGAGTGTTTCAATGAGTCATTCATTCACTCATTACTAGTGATTATCAGTCACTTGAGTGTCATAACAATTGTCTCCTAATCTGATCCACAAACACATCAAATATAAGACTTGTGTCCAAAATGTCGACCATCTCTTCGGATCAATGGTTTGAAAACAATTCAATTGAATTATCATTAAATGATTGTCTCTTTTGGTGACCAAAGGCTCAGAGATCACGACTCTATCGACGAAATGGCAAATGAGTTGATGTCTAAAATCAATCAAAGAAATCAGTTCCCGATACAATTCAATTGAATTATCATTAAATGATTGTCTCTTTTGGTGACCAAAGGCTCAGAGATCACGACTCTATCGACGAAATGGCAAATGAGTTGATGTCTAAAATCAATCAAAGAAATCAGTTCCCGAAGAACTCCATCGCCTTCTCACGAGTAATACATTCATGTGTTGACCATATTTGACACAATGTCTCACTCATTGAGCCCTTCCTCCTCTGTTTAGAGTGATATTCAGACACAACAACTGCTGAAGAGTTTTACCGAAAGGCTATCACAACTACAGCAACAACTGAACCAAACCTCCAAATCTAATCAATTGTATGAACCATACCATTGCCGCAACTCTTGTGTCCATTGATGCCGTGATTTAGCATTGATTTGACTGATTATGTCATATATTGTGCAGAACTCAACGCGAGTCCGAAAGACGGCAACGACTCGTAGATAATCTGAACTATAGGTACAAACAGATGGAAATATCCATACAAAACCCGGACTCCGACCGCAGGTATCAACCAATCAATCAATCCGTGGCTATATATGTTGTGTTGTTGTGTGCAATGAATGGCCAAATGTTTTGTTAATTTATTGAACGCAACAATTAGTGAACAAAACACTAATGTCTGACTCCATTGACTCCATGTGCAGAAGTGCTCTTCTGGGAAATCCGGGCCACTCTTTGTACGGAACAAATGGCACTCAAGACTATGACGTCGAGAGGGCGGAGACGACGGCCAACAGGAATCTGGACGTCGAAGAGATGCGACAACAGAAACAACTCCTCATTCGAGGTATACATACATCTCTCTCGCTCTCGCTCTCTCTCTCGCTCTCGCTCTCGCTCTCGCTCTCGCTCTCTCTCTCGCTCTCGCTCTCTCTCTCGCTCTCTCTCTCTAGCTTTTCTTATCTATTATTTAATCCAATCTTTTATTTTGTTTTGTTTTTCCACTTATTCTTCGTTCTCTTCACTCAATCTATTGATCATTATTTCTATTGTCTCTCAATAAGAGTTGTGTTTATTGTCTNCTCTCTCTCTCTAGCTTTTCTTATCTATTATTTAATCCAATCTTTTATTTTGTTTTGTTTTTCCACTTATTCTTCGTTCTCTTCACTCAATCTATTGATCATTATTTCTATTGTCTCTCAATAAGAGTTGTGTTTATTGTCTGATCTGTTATTACGAATTGACTTTAATTATCATTTTTATTGTTTTTATTTGTTAATCACTCAGAACAAGACAAAGGATTGGAGTCATTAGCTGAGATAATTAGTCGCCAGAAGAATATGGCTCAAGGAATGAGCTCTGAAATCGATTTACAAAATGGTTATATATTTATATTTATTTATTTAGTTTATAGTAACTGTTGAATTAGAGCCTTATTTGCTGTAAATGTCTCTTACGTTAGAAATAATTGATGACATCGGAGACTTCTGAAATCGATTTACAAAATGGTTATATATTTATATTTATTTATTTAGTTTATAGTAACTGTTGAATTAGAGCCTTATTTGCTGTAAATGTCTCTTACGTTAGAAATAATTGATGACATCGGAGACCATATGGATCAGACCAATGATCGACTGCTGAGGAATACGAGAAATATACAAAAAGTCAACAGAAAAGCAGGCACTTGTGGTTAGTGTCTGTCCATTGTTTTATTTATAATCTTTTGGCGATTTATATATTTTATTAAATGTATTTATTTTGTAATTACGGTATTTTGTTTGACAGGTTTATGGGTTATAATAACACTGCTATTCATTGCGATCCTTACCGTCTCATTTGTTCCCAATTAGTCTGATAATTCATATTTTATTAATTATTTTTAAATTTGATATCAAGTTTTCATTAATATATTGAAGATATTTATATTTTATACAATTTGACTTGTATTACAATTTTATTCGTGATCTATATTATAGAGAATATTAATTATTAATCAAATATAATGTGATAATAAAGCAAAAGAATTCATCCACTTCATTAAAGTTTTAATTAATACTAAACTTTATTTATTATACATAAACTTTTAACTAAATTTCATGTATTTGATAATTAAATTGTCAAACTTTTAATAAATTGGCATACGTTATAGATTTATTTACAAAAATATTTTTAATTATGTTAATTTGCTCAACTAAACTTTATCATCGACAATTCTATCGCAAATATTATTAAAATTCTAAATTCATATTCCTAAATTAAGGTATATGAAATTGTTTTTAAAAAAGTATTGCGGTATATTTATAACCCATTTCCACAATATTGTAATTACCGTACATTGCGCAAATTAACATAATTAAAAATATTTTTGTAAATAAATCTATAACGTATGCCAATTTATTAAAAGTTTGACAATTTAATTATCAAATACATGAAATT